AAATGACTCCTCCCACCATATTATGGTGTTGCCCAAGTTTTGGGCTCGATCCGAAATCAATAGGTGTAGGAAATTGGACAATTCAAGTTCAAAGGCAGTTCGTTCCAAATTGGAGTGGTTGGGGTAATACTTAGTTCTAGCGATTGGATTTCACTCAAAACACACGAAATGACTCCTCCCACCATATTATGATGTTGCCCAAGTTTTGGGCTCGATCCGAAATCAATAGGTGTAAGAAATTGGACAATTCAAGTTCAAAGGCAGTTCGTTCCAAAATTGGAGTGGTTAGGGTAATTCATAGTTCTAGCGATTGGATTTCACTCAAAACACACCAAATGACTCCTCCCACCATAATACGGTGTTGCCCAAGTTTTGGGCTCGATCCGAAACCAATAGTTGTAAGAAATTGGACAATTCAAGTTCAAAGGCAGTTCGTTCCTAACTGGTGTGGTTGGTGTATTCCATACTTCTTGCGATTGGATTTCACTCATAACTCACCAAATGACTCCTCCCACCATATTATGATGTTGCCCAACTTTTGGGCTCGATACAAAATCAATAGGTGTAGGAAATTGGACAATTCAAGTTCAAAGGCAGTTCGTTCCAAATTGGAGTGGTTGGGGTAATACTTAGTTCTAGCGATTGGATTTCACTCAAAACACACGAAATGACTCCTCCCACCATATTATGATGTTGCCCAAGTTTTGGGCTCAATCCGAAATCAGTAGGTGTAAGAAATTGGACAATTCAAGTTCAACGACAGTTCGTTCCTAATTGGAGTGGTTGGTGTATTCCATACTTCTTGCGATTGGATTTCACTCATAACTCACCAAATGACTCCTCCCACCGTATTATGATGTTGCCCAAGTTTTGGGCTCGATCCGAAATCAATAGGTGTAAGAAATTGGACAATTCAAGTTCAACGGGAATCCGTTCCTAATTGGAGTGGTTGGTGTATTCCATACTTGTTGCGATTGGATTTCACTCAAAACACACCAAGTAACTCCCCCCACCAAATTATGGTGTTGCCCAAGTTTTGGGCTCGATCCGAAATCAATAGGTGTAAGAAATTGGACAATTGAAGTTCAACGGCAGTTCGTTCCTAATTGGAGTGGTTGGTGTATTCCATACTTCTTGCAATTGGATTTCACTCAAAACACACCAAATAACTCCCCCCACCAAATTATGGTGTTGCCCAAGTTTTGGGCTCGATCCGAAATCAATAGGTGTTGGAAATTAGACAATTCAAGTTCAACGGCATTTCGTTCCTAATTGGAGTGGTTGGTGTATTCCATACTTCTAGTGATTGGATTTCACTCAAAACACACAAAATGACTCCTCCCACCATATTATGATGTTGCCCAAGTTTTGGGCTTGATCCGAAATCAATAGGTGTAAGAAATTGGACAATTCAAGTTCAACGACAGTTCTTGACAGGACCCACCCCGAATTTCCTCGGAAACCGGGACGGATCCCGTCTATGATCCAACATCCCGCAGATGCCGGGCCCACTTACTAAAACCCGAGACTTTCTACCAAAAATTTTGGCAGAGTCTCCCCTTCAAACATGACAAATCCCAAAATTTCAAACCTGTCAAAAACACAGATAAAAACAACCCAACAGCCAGCATGCATTACACAAAGCATAGTATTACAAACTATAGCCTCCGGCCTCAAAATACCAAATCCTAACAGGCGATAACAGAGCAAGTCCACAGAGTACAACAAACTAGCGAAAATGAAGTTTACGTATTTACATAGCACTGAGGCTCCGAGAAAGCTCAAGTACTGCGGCTCGTGATAGCTGGGGTACAAAACACGGCACTGCAGCTCGTTCCAGTCAACTACTGGCTGTGGGGCGAAAAACAGAAAATTGTGAGTGGACAAAACAAAGTTTAGTTCAATTTAAACCAAAATAATATAACCCCACTGTTAGAAAACCATGCATGAAAACAATGCATTAAATCCACCATATACATATATAAATAGTTTGCTCAAACCCGAGCTAAATCCAAAATCCAGTGAAACTTACAAATTAACCCACCCAAACCTTTCCTTACAAATCTCAAATCAAACTCTCGAAACCCGTGCCCACCGGCACGACGAGCGGGGAAGTATCCTCACTCAAAAACCACAACAAATGAATAGTTATATAATATGAGAGATATACTCTTATATATATATATATGACATACCTAATTGTACCGGGGAAACAATCCAACAGGGGATTGTTGACTAGCTCACAATTATCAGCCCTCAAACGGACTATGTGGCTAGGGACAAGTTGTCCAACTGGGGAACTAACTCTCAGCCAGCAGGTACGGATGAAGAATCAAGACCCGTACGCCTGTAAACAGTCCTACGTGCGCAGACTACCCAATTAAGGGTCTACAGCGACACCCCGTTAAGGTATGCCCCGGGTTCCGACATTTCCAAGTATCTCACAATCCATAACCACAATCCAAATCAGGGGAGGTACACAGGGTAGTGCTTACAGCACTCCAAACTGACATTCTAAACTCATACTTTTCCTCATCTCACAACACCCCAAAGTACCTCACACAATCTCAACAAGCCAACACTTTTCCAAAAACATAATTATATACTTCAAGATACTTTATATGTCAAAACCCATATAAATTGCAAATAACTTTATAACATAACATATTGAACATATGAATAAATGGATACGAAAGGATGGGTTTGCATAAAACCATTTAAATCTTCATGCATAGGAATTTCATTATAAAACCATGCTATTTACTTGAAAACAAAATTCACTCACAAGTAGTCCCAAGCTGCGTGACCCCGAGAGGGTCCTGCCTGCTCTGAAGGCGGAGTCGGATTACCTATTTCAGAATACGAGCACGATATTAAAATCCAACTCTTCAAAAATGAGACTTTAAAGTAAAATCCTAACTTCCCGGGTTTCTCTTAATTACAAGGAACGAGACGTCCCTAATGCCCAACTAAAGGTTCCAAATGCTGGAAAAGTCTCAGAAGACACTCGGTCAACTGGACGGTCAAAACTTTAAGTTAATGAATCGGAACATCCGGGGCTCCGATTCACGATCCGCGAATTCCTATACGATCCTAGGAATACCAGGAACAACATACGTGAAATTGGGTTTGATCCAACGGTCCCAACACCTCAAACCCGAAAATCACATAATAGGTTTAATTCGTTCGAGGTCCAAACGATATCCAAATTGAGATCCGTAAACTCCTACGCGCTCGTGACAACGTAAGGATCATTTTAGGATAAAATGTGACCTCTGCCGGACTGCCCACGCGCCGCCCCACGCGCTGCCGCGCGTGGGTGGCTTGATCACTATTCAGGTGACCGGAAAAACTTAGAATCTTGGCTCCAAACTCCTAACCTAGGTAATACCCCTAATTTGGAGTCACTTTTGCTCTTGGGTGAAGGCCAAAAAGTGGCCGGAAATTCAAATTGAAATCCGGCTGAACCCTAACTTCGAAATTCGACCTGCAACCTCTCAAAATTCTGAGAAACCTAACCAACAGGCAGCTAGAGCACGAAAAACAGTCGAGAAATCATACCTCACTCGTCGGAATCGGTGGAGAAACGAAGGAGAACGAGCCGTTGCAAAATCTGTCAAAAACCAGCAACTTTTCTGCGTTTTTCTGGTGGCTGTAGCGGCTGTCGACGGCAGAGATGGCGGGGGAAGAGAGAGGAGAAGGTGGCGATTCGATCTTGGCTGGTCTCGCGGCCGGTGGCTGCCGGAGTTGACGACGGTGGCTCTTGGAAGTCACGGCTGGGAAGAAAAACGAAGGGAGGAGGAGGCTGTCGCGAGGAGAGAGAGAGAGAAATGAGAAATTGAAAATGAAATTCTGATTTTTATCCCAATTATTTTTCGGAAAATTTTGAATTAGGCCCTTAATAATTTTTCGATCGTAACTTCTTCGTTTCAAGTCCGAATCGAGCCTACTCTGTGTCTACGGACTTGGCTCAGTACCATCTATCTAAAAATACTACTTGTCGTCCCAAACTCTCTCCGGATAACAATTGACCTTTTTTCCCCCACTTCAAGGGCAAAATTGGAAATTCCATATTTAATTAGATAAATTAGTGAATAGTCTTATTTTTTGGGTCGGGATGTTACAATCTACCCCCCTTTAAAGAATTTCGTCCTCGAAATTTACGTACCTGTCAATAGAAGAGGTAAGGGTACTGGGCCCGCATTTGCTCCTCGAGTTCCCAAGTAGCTTCCTCTACAGTCTGACTTCTCCACAATACTTTTACCATTGGAATAGATCTGGAACGTAACACTTGCTCTTTTCTGTCCAGGATTTGTACGGGTTCCTCATCATATGACAAATCTTCTCTCAACTGCATGGGTTGTTGTTCCAAAACATGAGAAGGATCGGGCATGTACTTCCGTAACATGGACACATGGAAAACGTCTTGGATCCGAGATAGTTCCGAAGGTAAGGCAAGTCTGTAACCAACTAGTCCGACACGTTCCGTGATCTCATACGGTCCAATATAACGAGGACTTAACTTCCCACGTTTACCAAACCTCATCACGCCTTTCCAAGGAGATAGCTTCAAAAATACCCAGTCTCCCACTGCAAACTCGAGATCCTTGGACCGGTTGTCAGCATAACTCTTCTGTCTATCTTGTGCGGTCTTCAGCTTCTCTCGAATCATCTACGCCTGTTCAGTTGTATCTCGAATACTGTCCACTTTTTCCACTTTCCTGTCACCCACCTCATTCCAACAGACTGGGGTTCTACACATCCTCCCATATAAAGCCTCATATGGAGCCATCTCAATGCTCGAATGGTAACTGTTATTATACACAAACTCCACCAAAGCGAGGTGAGTATCCCAACTACCTTTCATCTTCACTTGTTCAGTTGGGTCGGGATGTTATAGTTCGTTCCTAATTGGAGTGGTTGGTGTATTCCATACTTCTTGCGATTGGATTTCACTCATAACTCACCAAATGACTACTCCCACCGTATTATGATGTTGCCCAAGTTTTGGGCTCAATCCGAAATCAATAGGTGTAAGAAATTGGACAATTCAAGTTCAACGGCAGTTCTTCCCAAATTGGAGTGGTTGGGGTAATTCATAGTTCTAGCGATTGGATTTCACTCAAAACACACCAAATGACTCCTCCCACCATATTATGATGTTGCCCAAGTTTTGGGCTCCATCCGAAATCAATAGGTGTAAGAAATTGGACAATTCAAGTTCAGCGACAGTTCGTTCCTAATTGGAGTGGTTGGTGTATTCCATACTTCTTGTGATTGGATTTCACTCATAACTCACCAAATGACTACTCCTACCATATTATGATGTTGCCCAAGTTTTGGGCTCGATCCGAAATCAATTGGTGTAAGAAATTGGACAATTCAAGTTCAACGGCAGTTCGTTCCTAATTAGAGTGGTTGGGGTATTCCACACTTATAGTGATTGGATTTTTCTCAAAACACACCAAATAACTCCCCCCACCATATTATGGTGTTGCCCAAGTTTTCGGCTGGATCCGAAATCAATAGGTGTAAGAAATTGGACAATTCAAGTTCAACGACAGTTCATTCCAATTGGAGTGGTTGGTGTATTCCATACTTCTTGCGATTGGATTTCACTCAC